CACCATGTTGACCAGGATGGTCTCGATCTCTTGACCTCGTGATCCACCCGCCTCGGCCTCCCAAAGTGCTGGGATTACAGGCGTGAGCCACCGCGCCCGGCAGATTTCTGCAGTTCTTTAAGCCTTGGTTTCCTTATCAATAGAGGGATAAATGCCTATTTTGCGTGGTAGTTTAAAGCGCCGAGGATAAAGGTAAAAGCATTTAAGGACATAGGGAAATCGCCCCACACTGAACCTTTGCATTTCCCTGGTCAGCTCCACGGGACTGCTGAGCAGACCGACAAACGCTCCTTTCCCTCTCTGTAAAAAGAGCTACGGGTCTTCACTTCAGGCCCAGGAAGAGGTGGTCCCACTACGCCGTGGCATCATCGCTTTTTAAGAAACACGGAAACCACCCCCACCATCCCAATGTTTAATGTACCGAAGTTTGTGAGAGTCACGTGAGACTCTCAGGTCTGCCCCGCCTTAAAGAGGTGGAGCCTCAGCTTGTGGACCAATAGCAAGAGCAGCCTCCGGAACGGCCCCAACGCGACAGGGAAATGGGGAGGAGCCAGGCGCCGGGCAGCTGTAACACCACTTCCGGAAAGCACGCCCCGCCCCTTCCCCTCCCCCGCGCCGGTTTCTTTAGCCAGTGCCGGGTGGGCAGAACCTGCGGGTGCTGATTGAAGGCGCCGCCTGCCGCTTTCTCCTCGCCTCCCCCCTCCTCGGCTCCCCGCCCCCTTCCCGAGTAGCGGGACCGGCCTTGATGTAGGAACACCACCCCCCCGCCTCTTTCCGCCCCAGTCGGGTAGCCCAGCTCGCCGCAGCCCCTGGCCCGCCCGCGTCCCCACCCTGCTGGCCCAGCTCTGCTCCGAACCCATTGTACACGGCCGGCTGCTGACTCCCAGGCCGGGCCGTGGCGGGGGCTCCTGGACCCCTGAGTGCCTCTCTGGCGGGCCCCGCAGGCCGCGGCCTCTCCCCCGCCCGCTTTCCTCGCGGCGACGGCGGGGGCGCCCTTTCCTCCCGGCGCGGGCGGCGGGGACGCACCCCCACCTCGCGGCGCCCCTTCCCAAGGGGTGAGCTGGGCCCGAGCAAGTCGAGGCAGGAAAAGGCCGCCGCGGACTGCCCGGCTAGCCGATCATTTTTATTATCGAGATTATTATTAAAAGGGGGCGGGGACCCCAGGACGCTGGGGAGGGGCTGGAGACGCAGGTATTTTTATTAAACGGATTATTCCTGAAATAATAATAATACGCGCAAGATGGCTGAAGGTGGCTGTGATGAGAGTGTTGGGGTTGGGATTTTTTTCTTCCTTTTTTTTTTTTTTTTGATCTGAGGATAAAGCTCTGAGGCGACAGCGGCTGCGGAGACCCTGCCCGGAGCGCCTCCCCTCCCTTGAGAAGCCGCGGGCGGACAGACGGACCACAGATCGAGCGACGGGCGCGGGCCCGCCCCGGACGCGTCGCCTGGGCAGCAGCCGGGGACCGCGGGCGCTCGCCTTTCTGCCGACTTCTTCCAATTCTCATCTTTTTTTATTTTTTGGACAGGACCGGGGTGGGTGGAGCAGAGGTGGAGAGAAATCGGGACTTGGCATTTTCTCCCCTCTCTCTCTCCTAATTTGTTGGAGGCCGCCAGCCCTCCCCTTGGAAAAAAAAAAAAAAAATCCCACTTAGAAAAAAAAAAGCAGGAGCGAGAGGACGCCGCGGGCCCCTCAGCGAGCGCGCCCAGACCCCGGCCGCCGCCGCGGAGCCCAAGATGGCTGGGCGCTGAGGGAGGCGGCTCGGCCTGGCCCCGCCGCCGCAGGCTGGCTCCGACCGCAGCCCCGAGCCTTCCAGGCCCGAGCAGAGGCCGAGAAGAAAAGAAAGTGGGGGGAAGGGGGCCGGGGGGGGCGAAGGGGGAGGGCCGGGGAAGGGGAGGGGAGGGCCGGGAGCCGAGCCTCCTGTTCATTAGCAGTTGAGAAAAATTCCTTTCTAGTTTGATCAATCCTTGTTTTCCTCGGCAGAGCCCGGGCGCCCGCCCAGTACGGAGACGGCGCGCGGGGTCTCTCCGCTGCGGGGGCGCCGGGCCTCAGGGGAGCGCAGAAGTAGCCGCCCGGGGGTCAGGCCGGAGCGCCGCCGGGGCTTCTTCCTCCCTCCCTCGCCGGTTGCCTTTTTTTCCACTTCTCTCCCTCCCCCTTCCGTTTCTATTTGTGAAGGGAGGAGGAAGGCAGAGGCGGGCTGGTGTCTCTGGCCGGGGACTGGAATTTCATCTGAATGACTGCCCCTGAGCGCACGCAGCGCCCCGGAGTCGGCCCGCCCGCGCCCCGCAGCCCGCGCCCGGCCGGCCAGCCGGGGGACGCCCGCACCTTGGCCCGGGGACCACCGGTCCTCCCCTCCCGCTCCGTCCGGATCTAGCAGCCTCGGCGCGGCCGCGCTCGCCTACCGGCCCCACGGACCCCGGCCCCTGCGAGGGAGGCGCGGCGCCGACGAGCCGGGCGGGAGCCGCCGCCGCAGCCGCCGGAGGAAGTGTGCTGCTCCCAGGCTCCGTCTGCCGCGGGGCGCGCCCCAATGTCAGCCGCGGGGCCGAGCGCAGGCCGCGGGCCGCCGCTGCCCTAGCTGCGCCGACGGGGAGGCGGCCTCTTATATGGAATTTGGACCCCGGCGCTCCCTTCCAAGGCTGGAGCCCCGGCCGCGGCCCTGGCGCAGTCCGCCACCTCCCGCTAGGCGCTCGGGAGGAGGAGGAGACGCAGCGGGCTGCGCGCGCGGCTTGAGGACCGAGGCTCCCTCCTCCGGGGGGCGGGCACGCGGAAGGCGCTGCTGACTGAGCGACCGTCGGGGCCGGCTGGGGCCGAAGCTCGGGGCTGGGTGGGCCTACAGCGGCTCCGGACGGACCCCTGGGGCTGGGGAGTCGGGGAGGCCTGCCCCGGCCCCCTGTCCGCGGCCGCCATGGCGGAGAATTGGAAAAACTGCTTCGAGGAGGAGCTCATCTGCCCCATCTGCCTGCACGTCTTCGTGGAGCCGGTGCAGCTGCCGTGCAAACACAACTTCTGCCGGGGCTGCATCGGCGAGGCGTGGGCCAAGGACAGCGGCCTTGTGCGCTGCCCAGAGTGCAACCAGGCCTACAACCAGAAGCCGGGCCTGGAGAAGAACCTGAAGCTCACCAACATCGTGGAGAAGTTCAACGCCCTGCACGTGGAGAAGCCGCCGGCGGCGCTGCACTGCGTGTTCTGCCGCCGCGGCCCCCCGCTGCCCGCGCAGAAGGTCTGCCTGCGCTGCGAGGCTCCCTGCTGCCAGTCCCACGTGCAGACGCACCTGCAGCAGCCCTCCACCGCCCGCGGGCACCTCCTGGTGGAGGCGGACGACGTGCGGGCCTGGAGCTGCCCGCAGCACAACGCCTACCGCCTCTACCACTGCGAGGCCGAGCAGGTGGCAGTTTGCCAGTACTGCTGCTACTACAGCGGCGCGCATCAGGGACACTCGGTGTGCGACGTGGAGATCCGAAGGAATGAAATCCGGGCAAGTACCCTACACGCGCGCGCGCGCGCACACACACACACGCACAAACACAGTCCCTCCCGCCCGCCCGGGGACCACCCTTCCTGGCAGGCTGACTCTTGTGACATCAGGCCAGTAGCCCCTGGCCAAACTCTTCTGTGAAAGTTTGGGGACAGGGTCCTGGGAAGAAGGGTCCCGAGTCGCTACTTAGTACATTCCCGAACCTGTGCGCACAGGGTCCGTCTTCTGAGTGCTTTATGGGATTGGGCGTGGGACCGTCAGGGGTAGAGTTTGGGTGTCGCTTTTCCGTGGTGCGCAGCTCCCTTCCCCAGCGTTGCTGCTGCAGGCCCTACGGGAAGTCACCGAGGCAGTGACCCCGGTCCTGCCTCTCCAGCTGCTGTTTATGTAATGAGTGTCCCGGTGCCGCCGCTGTGGCTGACATGATCCATGATGCTGGCATACCAATGAGGAAGTAAACAAAAGCAGCCATGTTAGTTTTCAGCGCTATTGGAAACACATTGGGGGGGCGGGGGGAGCTTCCGGAGGGAGAGCAGAACTCCGGCCATCTCTCTGGACAGGGTCTGAGCAGCCAGCCAGCGAGGCCCCGACAGCGACTCCGCTATTTGGATTCCTCCCGAGAGCCGGCTCTCCCTGTGTGAGAATCACTGCCCTGTGTGCCTGTGTGTCGCACGGGCTGCATGAACAAACCTTGAAGTATGTGTCTTCATCCTCCCGGCCCTCTCGCCCAGCCCAGCCCTCTTGCCGCCCTCCCACATTTGGGGAGGGGAAGTTGAAGACGGAAAAAGAATCCTGTGGGTTTAAGGTTGAGCCGCCTTGAAATCTGGTTTCAGGCAGCTGGCTCCCCTGGGCAGCCGGCTGGGTGATTACAGAACCGCGTCCCCTCCCATTGTATACACCCTGCGGCCGCGGCCAATGTCAAAACCGCCTCCACCCCTCAGGCCTCTGGGCCTGGTTTTGGAGCTGGACTGAGGCAATACTTCCGTCCCCTTCAGTGGAGGGGGCTCCTCCTAGGTCCCTCCCCAGTCCTCTGGCTTTCAGGGTTGAGTCATACCAGAAGGAAGGGGTTGGCCTGACACCTTGGAGTCCTCTCTGAAGCCCCAGCTTGGGGCCTGGGGCCTGGGGCCTGGGGCCTGGGTGTGATATGTGGAGGCGAGGCTGCTCCGGTGGGACTGGGAGTGTCTCTGGGTGGGGGCCCTTGGAGGTTAGTGGAGGCCAGTGGCAAGGCTGGGTATGAGGAAGCTCTGCTCAAGGCATGATTGGAGATGGGGCTGTTTCCTGTGGAGGGGGGACCAGTCAGAGTGAGTCACTGTTTAGCAATTAAAAAACACACACATACAACCAACAAAAGGCAGGAGGGCCACCACAGGCTGGGGCGGGGACAGCAAATACAATTTACTGTATAATTAGTTTCCACTCGGATGGGGTAGCTCTGGGTTTGTGTGCCAGGATAGGCCTCTGGTTTCTTAAAGGAAGTGTGTCCTCCACCCCTTGTGTCCTCCACCCCCATTCAGGGCAGGCACAGCCCATACTTTCCCCAGTATTGGGAAGCTGCTGCTATTAATAAAGATGGAACGGCTGGGGGAGGAGGCCGGGAAAAGTGCAGAGGCAGGAGAAAGGAGGGCTGTCCAGTTCTCTGTCCTGGGATTGGCAGTGGAAAATGAGAGGAGAGGAAAGAGATGTAGCTGAAAGGAACAGGGGAGGGGCAGCAACCTGGGCGATGCTGGGATGCCTGCCCGCACCCACAGTGTTGCTGTAGCTGGCCTGAGTGCTAGGGATGTCTTTAACTGAGGTGGGGGAGAAAAGGTAACTCTACCTGACCTGGTGTAGGATAGCTTTAGGTGTCTGTGTTTTTGAGCATCTTTGAGACTGCTTCGCTCTCCAATGCACCTGTCTCCCGTCTGTAGAGTTCGGGGTGCAGGTGAGGGGGGTGGATGGTGTGTGCAGCAGAGTATTCCCTGGAATGTCCCCAGCAGGCCCCTCATCTCCAGACTGGTGGATTGGATGGAAGCAGGCACTGAACTTTGTCGGCAACTTTGCAGGGTTTGTGTGTGCATGAGTGCTTTCCTGTGCCTCGTGTGGGCAAGCTCAGAAGGAGTGCGTTGCATCAGGGCCAGATGTGCAATTCTGTGTGTTCAGCAGCTGTGCCCTGCAGTGGCAGCCTGAGTCTCATCCTCCAGGTTTCCCCTTGCCAGGCCCCCGATTCTTTCTGGTGCCCCAGGGCACTGGGGTTGGAAACCCTTCAACAGCCAGTGTCACTCAAGTGTGAGTTTGACTTATTGAATGTGGAGGGATAGGGGCCTTGCCTGCCCTCCCAGGAGGGAAAGGAGGGGGTGAGCCATAGGAACCTGAACCTTTGCACACTCTGTAGGTCATACAGGGGGAGTGGGTGGAGTGCCCTTCCTTGACCCCTTTTCCCTTGCTGGAGGGAGTCTACCTTAAAGGGCCTTTGCTGGTGTTGTGGGCGAGGGCAACAGAAATTCTCCAGGATATAGGAGCAGAAGCACAGAGAACTGGCACCTGCCTTAAAATCTAGGCTCTGCTCTTGTGCATCCTTCTGCCCTCCCGGGGGATTGCTGACATGCCTGTCAATTGGCTGGAAATAGGAAGCCCTGATTAACCCCTCCCTGGTGGCCTTGCCCTCACACACAGCATCCACAGGTGCACATGGGTCATGGCCTAGAGCAGGGACCAGCAGGAGGGCAAGCAGGGCCTCCATCCAGCCTGGGAGACTACAAGGGGTAATCTCAGAGTCAGACCCAAGCAGGTTGTTGCCCTAATCTCCCCTTGAGAAGCCAGTGTGTCAGCTACATTGCCCTGAGGCCTGGATACCCACTGGATGGTCCTGAGACCACTCTCTGGGATGTGCCTAGACCCTAAATGTGCTCTCCCATGAGGCTGTGGGGAAGCTAAGGGCCCAAGATTTGGACATCCAGGTGGGCTCAGGCCTGGCAGCCCTGAGTGGTCAGACCCCTCCCAGCCCCCAGGTTCAGGGGTTCATCTAAGCAATGAGGGACTGCTGGGAGCTGGGGGAGTCCTTATCTCATGACTGCCCACAACATGGAAAGAAGACCCAAGAGCAGGCCCGGTTGCATGCGTGAGGGGCCTGTAGGTGTCTGGTTTGTGCGTCTATGCAGGTGTGTGGTGCATATGTGTCTGCAGGTGTGTGGTTCGTGCGTCTATGCAGGTGTGTGGTGCGTGTGTCTATGCAGGTGTGTGGTGCATATGTGTCTGCAGGTGTGTGGTTTGTGCGTCTATGCAGGTGTGTGGTACGTGTGTCTTTTCAGATATGTGGTGTGTGTATGCAGGTGTGTGGTGCGTGTGTGTATGCAGGTGTGTGGTGCGTGTGTGTCTGCAGGTGTGTGGTGCGTGTGTGTCTGTGCAGATATGTGGTGTGTGTGTATGCAGGTGTGTGGTGCGTGTGTGTCTGTGCAGATATGTGGTGTGTGTGTATGCAGGCGTGTGGTGCGTGTGTGTCTATGCAGGTGTATCTGAGTCTGTGCATTTACAGTTGTGTTTCTGCATCATCCCAGGCATCCCAGAGCAAGGCTGGACATGTTGCTAGGACCCTGTTTCTTGCACTCTCAGAGGTTCAGAGGTGAGAAGAGGTGTTCTCTAGGGGAGGAGATCCCACTGCTTAGGCCAGTGTGGGGTTTGCTTCTGCTTGGAGTAAGGGTATCCTGTGCACATTGCTGGTGGCTGGAGAGGCCACCCTGAGACCCTGGAGAGAATCCTGGGTTTCGTCTCCATTTGTCTGTCTTTGAGTGCACAATGAGAGTGAGGGCTGGCCCGGCTCTGCTGGGGCTGGGACTGGGGCCGGGGTTGTAGCCTGACTCCAGTAGTGCAGATCTACCTCACTGCTCCTCCTCAAAGGAGACCATACTCCTGAAGTGGTGTGTGTGTGTGTGTGTGTGCGCGTGCGCACGCGCGCATTTGTGGCCACCCTGAGTCTTCATGGAAGGGAGCGCTGGCTTGGCCTTCCTCCCTTGCCCCTGAAAGAGAGCCTCAGGCAGAGGCCCAAGAGGCCTAGCCGCCAATCCCCACCCCAGGATCCTGCTGACACGGCCGGGCCCCTGTCATGCCCGCGATATTGATTACTCTGCCTCCTGCAGCCCTGGGTGGCCATGCATCCGTGTCTGTCTGCAAGTGTGTGTGTGCGTATGTGTAGCCAGCATGTCTGGGTTGTGCATCTCGGAGGTGACTGAGTTTTTGCATTTCACATGGGTGTCTCTGAGAAGGCGCAGGTGCCTCACTTAGGTCCCTAGTTGTGCAGCCGTGTCTGCCTGCCTGCGAGTTGAAGTTGAGTGTGCCTTCCTGACTGTTGGCAGCACTAGTGTGCCTCTGTGTGAATACCCACCCAGGTGATCCTTGCTTGGTGGCTATGAGTTTGTCAGGGATCCTGGGACTTCCCCCCACCGTGGGGGTGTTGGGGAAAGGAGGGAAAGACGGGCTTCCCCTTGGGGTAAGCCCGTGGCGGGTATTGGAGGTAGGAGCTAAAAGGGTCCTGTGCTGTTCTGCTGGGCGGTCTGTAGAGGCGGAGCAAGCCCAGCTTGGGCCCCTGCCCTGGGCTGAGCAGGCTGGCCTGGCTGGCCTCCTCCCTGGCTCTGGGAAAGCCTTCCTTCCCGGCTGGCCTGGCATTCAGAACCAGACAAAGGGGGGCTTTCTCTCTCGCCTCTTTGTTCTGCTGCCCCAGAGCGCTGCTCTCTGCATGGCAAAAGCTAATTCCACTCTGCAGCTGGGAAGCCCTCTCTGGGGTCTGCCTGGCTCGCATCTGAGGTGCTGCCTCTCTCCTTGCCCTGGCGCCTGCCCTGGAGCCCCTTCCCTCTGTGGCCTGTGGTCTCCCCAGCCTGGGGTTCACATGGTAGCCCATGGCAGAGGCTCGAGGCATGGAACGGGGGTTTAGGGTAGGCATTAGCTTCTCTGAGGAGAGGGGAGAGTGCTGTGGGCCCAGGGAGAGACGGGGACAGGGACCAGGTGGAGGAGTAGGGGGAGGGTTAGGATGAGGTGGCTCTGAGGAGGGAGTTGGAGCCAGAGCTGGAGCTGGTCCTGAGCAGGAAGAAGCTACCCAGCCTCCTCTTCTTGCCCCTCCCTGCCCTGCCCCTCCCACCACCACAGGGGCTGCTGGAGCCTGCCCTGGTCTTGTCTGAAAACCCAGGGACTGCCTCTGTCCCAGTCCCTGGGGCCCTGTTTCCTCCTGACCTTGTTTCTCTTCAAGGTTGACTTGAGGATTTTATTATTATTATTTATTAACTTTTATACAGCCCAGAGTCCCCAAACCTCACCCGTCTGCCCAGTCTAGTCTGGCATCAGAAAATGCCAGCTGGCCTGGCCAGTCAGGCTCCAGAGAGACATGAGGCTTTCCTGGGGCAGGAATGTAGGGGCTTGGGGTTCCCACTCCAGGCTGGGAGGGGAGTCAGAGCGAGCGGCAGCAGAGCTGAGGAGGGGGGCCCAGGTGGTGGAGGGTGGGAATGGCGGCTCCCTCCATTCCTCCTGAGTCTTCATGGGCCCAGGCAAACCACTGAAGGCCTGAGGCCTGACAGGCAGGGCTGGGCTGCGTAGGTTCTCCCGAGGCCCACCTAGTCCCCGTCTCCCTGGAGGCCTGGTGCCTCCAGAGCTTCTAGCCCAGGCCACGTTCCAGCCTGCTCTGCTCCCGTGTGCTCTAGCATGCGAAGTCCAGGCCACAAACCTTGCGGGGGCGCTTGTAAGGTCCTCCCAGCCCCACCTGCCCTTGTGTACAGTACTTGCTCTGAACTAAGCTGAGAAATCCAGTCCAATCTCAACTATGGGTTTTTCCCAAGTGGGAAATGGGGCCCTGGCTCTTAGCCATTCCCTGGGGAGGTAGATAGGGGTTGCACTGGAAAGGAGGCTGCTGGTGGTGGGGTCTGGGCCTTGCTTCCTCTGCTCCCTATCTTCCAGAGTCTTGGCAACCCGATTTGCTTCGTTGGTGAACTGGGGTGGGGTCGCAAAGGGACAGCAGGTGGGGATTTCTCATCTTCCTTCCAGTTTCCCAGGCGCTATCTGTAGCAAGAGCTGGCCCAGAGGGAGAGTGGGCCAGGCCAGTTCGTCTCCTTCCAGTCCTCCCTCGCTGGCATCCCCCGGCCAGCCTCCTTCCCCTTCCTATCCTCACCCCAACCCCTGCAGCAGAGACAGGAGCCTGCTGCAGCAGGGGGGGAAATGAAACCCTCCCACCTGCTAAGGACTGCGACCTCCCCACCCCACCTACCTCTGTGTGGCCTGGGCTGGTGTCCCACCCAGAGTGCCTGGGGAAGACCCTGCAGGCTCCCAGGGTAGAAATGTTGCTGGGGGAGACTGAGGAAAGCCCAAAAGAAGAGGAAAGGGGCTGAGCACCACCGCCTAAGACTGGACAGGAGGGCCCTCCCTCTGTTGTGCCCTGAGGGGTCACTCCTGGGAGGCCTCGGGAGGGATGGGGCAAAGGGGCGCCCACCAGCCTGTGGGGCGGGTGTGGACAGCTCCGTTCCAGTCCTTAGGGAAGCTTCGCTGGGACCTTGGAGCTGTCTCTTTCCTACCCCTCCCTGGGACTCCCCTGCGTCCGCCCCAAACCAGCTCCTGGTGGGTTTGGTCGAGGAAGCCCGTGGTGCAAGATATGTGGGGCCAGCAGAGCCTTTCAGATATCCTGGGCCCTGGATGGAGGGAGTGGCCTGGACTCTGAGGAGCACTTGGGGGGCCTCGTTGTCCTCCTGAGGGTGGGCATGGGGCAGCCATACGCAAGAATTTGATGGGACAAGTGTTCCAGGGGAGGTCAGCGGCCTGATGTTCCCAGGGTGTCCTGGCCACCTCACCAGGCCTCTCACAATTGTCTGGTGCCTCCAGGGGTCCAGCCTTCCCTGCGAGGGGGTTGGGTCAAGTGCGTTTGCAACTGTGGCTGTACTTGCCAGCATGCCTGAGGTGGGCTTGGGGCTCAGGTAGCAAGATGTTCCCACGTGCGTGTGCAGCCGTGTGCCAGGCAGCCCTGCACCTGCCTGTGCATGCTGTGTGTGCTGTCGGGCTCTGACCCTTGGGCTGGCAGCAGATTCCTGGGCCTCTTGGTGCTGCCGGGGGTAGAGCAGGGTCTCTGGTTCTGGTTCTTAGAGGGCCTGTCCTGGGTCACTGAGAGGCTAAGTTGTGTGTGGGCCCCTGGCACCCCAGCTCAGAAGATGAAAGCCTTACCCCCACACCTCCTCCTGCTCCCAGGGTCTTGGTTATTTCCAGAGTAGCCTCCAACACAAAGTGGGGTCTGGCCGAAGTCTCTGGTGATCCTTGGTTTGCCCATATATAAAATGGGCTGGCAGATGAGGAAGGGATTGACAGTAGCTTGTCTTGTTGTGAGGGGGAGCTGGGTGTGGCAGGGTGGGGGTCATGGAGTTGAACTGGAGGGTTACTCTGAGGCCCCCACAGAGGAAGAATGAGAACCACTCCTTGCTGCATGGACACTTACTGGGACTGTCTGTGGTTACACAGAGCTACTTTGCGAATTTTATTGTGTGTGTGGAACCCGCAGCTTATTGAGTGAATTTGTTATGCATCTCAGGCCGCCCAGGCCTTTGTGTGGCCTGGCTCTGAAGAGAGGTGGAGAAAGACGCAGCAAATCCCCGTTCTTAAGAGGCCTTGAGTCTTATGGGGAGATGAGACCATGGTTTGTGAGACAATTGGAAGACTCCAGAATAATGCTAATAGAATTTCTGCGATGATGGGAACATTTTGTAGCTTTAGTATCTGAGACCAGTGATATGTAGGTACTGGGCACTTGAAATGAAGCTGGTGCATGAGGAACTGATATTTAACTTATTTTATTTAGTTATTTTTTGAGATGGAGTCTCACTCTGTCACCCAGGCTGGAGTGAAATGGTGTGATCTTGGCTCACCGCAATCTCCACCTCCAGGGTTCAAGCAGTTCTCCTGCCTCAGCCTCCTGAGTAGCTGGGATTACAGGCGTGCACTGCCATGCCTGGCTAATTTTGTATTTTCAGTAGAGATGGGGTTTCTCCATGTTGCTCAGGCTGGTCTCAAACACCCGACCTCATGTGATCCACCCACTTCGGCCTCCCAAAGTGCTGGTATTACAGGCATGAGCCAACGCGCCTGGCCTTATTTTTGATTTTTCGTTAACTTGGATTTAAATCGCCACATATGACCAGTGGCCACCATATTGGACAGCACAGCCTGAGAGGGAGGGCAGAATGGGACAGCCAGGACAGGGAGGGACCTGCATAGCCTCAGAGCAGCAGTCATGGAAAGTTTCCTAGAGGAGTGGGGACTTAAGTTGGGCCTTGAAGGATAGACAAGGGGAGGGAGGGGGCACTGTGGGCTGCAGAAGAACGTACCTAGAGCTGCAGGCAGTTTCCATGTGCAGAGTTGGGGACAGGATACCAACCCAGCTAGCTGGAAGAGTCAGGGTGCAAAAGAGCCTTCATTGCCGTGCTAAAGTAGTTGACAGGAGGGAGTCATTGAGAGATTCTGAGCATGGGAGAAAGCCTGTCTGAAGAGGCATACCTGGTGAGAGGAGCGCAGGAGAGGGGGGTGGCTGGGAGGCGAGGTGTTGTAGGGACAGGAGATTATGAGCTGAGAAGAGCAGCTTGGTCCAGCACCTTCCAGCAGCCTGGCCTCGGGTCGTAGGAGAGCCCAAATCTCCTTTCTGCCTGGGTCCCACTGAGGGGCTAAGGGAGCTGACCAGGACTCCAGAGTCCTAGCGCTAGGTTTTTAGAACAAGGGAGCGGGTGGCTGGCTTGATGCCCCCTAATGTAAGGCAAGTATAAGGTGAGATCTTTGGACCGGGCCAGAGGCTAGTGCAGCTTTGGAAGGGAATTTGACCCCCTGCATCTTAGGATACTCATCTCTCTCTCATTTTTTTTTAAATTCACCTGAGTGCAGGTGGGCTAAGGCCGAAAAGGGCGTTAGCAGGGTACTCATCTCTCAGACGATGTGCTCCAGGACTCAGAGGCAGCAGGGCCTGGGTCAGAATAGACCCTGCTGCCAGATCACCTGGGTTTGTGCCCCAGCTCTGTTGTTTACAAGCTGTGCGACTATAGACAAATGACTTAACCTTTCTAGGCTTCAGTTATCTTTTCTGTGAAATGAGAATAATGATAGTACTTACCTCATATCATTACTGGGATGATTAGATAAATCTGTACAGGAAAAGTACTTAGAACAGAAGTTGGTCTAACCCTGCTCTCAGAAAGCTCAGCATTTAAATATGCATGGGGGCTAGGCATGGTGGCTCACACCTATAATCCCGGCACTTTGGGAGGCTGAGGCAGGCAGATCATTTTAGGTCAGGAGTTTGAGACAAGCCTGGCCAACATAGTGAAACCCCATCTCTACTAAGTATACAAAAAAATGAGTTGGGCATGGTGGCACATGTCTGTAATCCCAGCTACTTGGGAGGCTGTGGCAGGAGAATCCTGCCTTAAACCGGGGAGGTGGAGGTTGCAGTGAGCTGAGATCATGCCAGCCTGGGCAACAGAGTGAGACTCCTTCTAAAAAAATAGTGTAAATAAATATATATGCATTGGAAACTATTCTGGGGGGAGCTGGGAACAGGCCTCTGTGATTGCAGGGGGCCAGAGGGGCTGGGTGGCAGAGGCTTGGTGACATCCGGGTCAAAGGATCCATAGGATGGGTGTGTGGTGTAGAGGGAAGCATGGGTCAGGGTTGGGGCCACAGCCCCTCTGATACCCCCACCCAACTGTCCCTGCAGAAGATGCTCATGAAGCAGCAGGACCGGCTGGAGGAGCGAGAGCAGGACATTGAGGACCAGCTGTACAAACTCGAGTCAGACAAGCGCCTGGTGGAGGTAGCTAAGCCCAAGGCCATGCTGCAGGGTGGGTGGGGGGTGGCTTGGATGCAGGGCTTTGGGTGAGTTCCTTACTAAGGTTTGACTGTGTGGCTCTGTGCCAGACCCCTCTGTCAGTCATTCAGTGAACTGTTCTGGATGCCCACTGGTACCAGGAGATGCTGGCCCAGAGCCCTGTGCTAGCAGTGGGGACTGGCAAGTCAGACCTTGCCCCTGGGAGCCTGGGGCAGCCTGGCTACTTGGGAGATTCTAGGATGTGAGATGGGTGAGGGGGGCCACCAAAGGTCTCCAGGGCTCACCTTCCCGGCCACTCCTGTTCCTGTACTCACAGGAGAAAGTGAACCAACTGAAGGAAGAAGTTCGGCTGCAGTACGAGAAGCTGCACCAGCTGCTAGATGAGGACCTGCGGCAGACAGTGGAGGTCCTGGACAAGGCCCAGGCCAAGTTCTGCAGCGAGAACGCAGCGCAGGCGCTGCACCTCGGGGAGCGCATGCAGGAGGCCAAGAAGCTGCTGGGCTCCCTGCAGCTGCTGTTTGATAAGACAGAGGATGTCAGCTTCATGAAGGTGGGCTGGGCCCAGGACCAGGCTGGCGGCACCCAGAGGGCTGTTCCCAAATTGGGGTCTGCAGTTTCCCCCACCGGTAGCTCACATGCCCTTCCCTGTGGGGCCAGACTACATGGGTTCAAATCCACCTGCCTGTTCTTTCTAGCTCTGTGACCTTGGGCAAGTCATAGGTACATCTCGGGCCTTGCTTACTCACCTACAAAGTGGTATTGATAATACAGATCTACTCTTCTTTATCCACAATTCCATATTTAAAAAAGATCTCTGAAAACTGACAGAAACAAATCTGTCATCTAATTTAACAGCGAAAATGGACCTGAACTGATGTTAGGCAGTTTATGGTTTTTATCTCATGTGGTATGAAAATTCAAACATTTTGCAGCAGAAATGTTGATGGATTGGACTGTGGTGTCTTGCTGGGGATGGTATGTAATATATGATACAGGCGCTATATTCTCCTTCTAAAATCCAAAAAATTCCAAATTCTAAAATACATCTGGCCCCAAAAACTTGAGCTAAAACAGTGTGGTGGGCTGCAGCACCCATCTCCTTGGCAGCTGTGTGGGTGAAGTTATGAACACACAGAAAACACCAACAACGCCTGGGTCACGTGGCAAGAGCTCAGTAAATGTTAGCTCTTCTTCCACAAATGGTGACCCCCACCTCTCCACCTTCTGTCCAGAATGAGAAGATCCACCCAGCTTGGGGGAGGTTGGGGGGGCAGCTTCTGTCTTCCCCTCTCCCGGAGCTGCCTTTTCCACTGACTGACTCTTTTCTTTCCCCAACAGAACACCAAGTCTGTGAAAATCCTGATGGACAGGTGAGCTGACAGCCCCAGCCCTCCCCGAGGCACATCCTGGGGAGGACAGAGGGGCCAGGCCCATGGCGGGGAGGTAGGGCGGGCTCACCGGTGATGCCTCCTCACAGCAGAGGCCCCGTCCACTGCCCCCAGGACCCAGACCTGCACAGGCAGCAGCCTTTCCCCCCCTAAGATCGGCCACCTGAACTCCAAGCTCTTCCTGAACGAGGTGGCCAAGAAGGAGAAGCAGCTGCGGAAGATGCTAGAAGGTGAGGGTGGGGTGTTCCACCAAAGGGAGAGAGGGCCCTTTGGGCAGGGGTTCAGCGCCAGAGCCTCCCCGCCCCCCACCCACGAGAGGCAGTGTGACCCAGTCCAGGAGACCTGTCCTCACATCCTAGCTTTGCCACTTGTAGCTGTGGGACTGTGGGTAAGCCACATGACCCCTCAAAATCTGTGTTTCTTCAGCTTAAAGTGGGCGTATAACTATTTTCTCCCTCCTAATGGTAGAGGAGCAAGCATCACCTGAGATGTGACATGCTTGGGCCTCTAGGAGTCAAAGGTCCCCAGGTCCAACCCAGGGGAGAGGAGACCTGGGTTGCTTGGGGTGGGAGCTTTGGCGACTTTTACCCCAATTCTCCACAGGCCCCTTCAGCACGCCAGTGCCCTTCCTGCAGAGCGTCCCCCTGTACCCTTGCGGCGTCAGCAGCTCTGGGGCGGAAAAGCGCAAGCACTCAACGGCCTTCCCGGAGGCCAGTTTCCTAGAGACGTCGTCGGGCCCTGTGGGCGGCCAGTACGGGGCGGCGGGCACAGCCAGCGGTGAGGGCCAGTCTGGGCAGCCCCTGGGGCCCTGCAGCTCCACGCAGCACTTGGTGGCCCTGCCGGGCGGCGCCCAACCAGTGCACTCAAGCCCCGTGTTCCCCCCATCGCAGTATCCCAATGGCTCCGCCACCCAGCAGCCCATGCTCCCCCAGTATGGCGGCCGCAAGATTCTCGTCTGTTCTGTGGACAACTGTTACTGTTCTTCCGTGGCTAATCATGGCGGCCACCAGCCCTACCCCCGCTCCGGCCACTTTCCCTGGACAGTGCCCTCACAGGAGTACTCACACCCGCTCCCGCCCACACCCTCCGTCCCCCAGTCCCTTCCCAGCCTGGCGGTCAGAGACTGGCTCGACGCCTCCCAGCAGCCCGGCCACCAGGATTTCTACAGGGTGTATGGGCAGCCGTCCACCAAACACTACGTGACGAGCTAACGCCACGCAGGCGGCGGGGCGCTTGGGAACCTTCCCCCCTCCCACCCTGGCCCCCGGGCTCGGGAGTTATGCATCCAGAGACCTGCCCTTCTACCTTCCTCTCCTCCCCTCTTCCTCATTCCATGCCCTAGGTCTTTTCCTTTTGGATTTTGTTTTTTTGGCTTTGTTTTTGATTTTTTTTTTATTACGAATCTCCTGGACGCAGAGGTGACAGAGGTAGCTGGCTTGGGCCGGGACCGCAGGTGGCCCTGGAGATGGGAAAGTGTCTGTGTGGAGGCGCTGAGCTCTCTCTCGGTCTCTCCTTTTTTCCTCTACTCCTTCCTCTTCACACCCCCGTGGCTGGAAGGAGCCTCAGTTCCCTGAAAGCTCAGGGGTCCCACCCTTCTTACCCGCCCAGCAGGAATGCCCAGGGCCTCCGGCTTGTTTCTCATGTTTTTCTTTTGGGCGATTTGATCACTGATCGAGTAAGGAATGACCTTTAGATTGTGGGACTTTTGTTTTTGTTTTTTTTTTAATTTTGTTAAACCAAGAATGATTTCTCCTGCTTCTTTCTCCTCACCATCGTCCCAGACGGAGTTCAAAGGCCACTTCTCAAGCAGCTTTTGGCACCTTCAGCCTCAGAGTGGAATCTTTTAAAGACAGGAACCCTATGTCCAGGAAAGGGGAAAGGAACTTTGCCAATGATAGTGACCACAGCAAAAGCAAATAATAATAATATTAATAATAATAAAGAGAAATAAAAAATAATAAAATAAAAAACAATAGCACAGCCCTTGTTGAGGTCAGCAGGGAGGAGGGGCTGCCCGGAGTTGGGTCCTTGCCTGGATTTTGACACAGCAACTTCCTGTAGTGAGCACTTTGTATGAATCGTGGACTTCCTGTGCTCAAGGCACAGGTATTTATTCTGTAATCTGTCTAGAGCACACACTGAAATCCAACCTTCTAATAAACATGATGGCGCAGTCCCACTCCCTGCCTCGCCTATTCCCCCGACTCCTGCAGGCCTGGGCTCTTCAGGCATCGGTGTGAGGAGGGGCGCTGCTCTCCTTGCCTTGGTTTTGCCCTCCTGGGTCCAGCTGGTACCAGGCCGGTGAATGTCAGATCCTCAGGCACTGACTGTCTGCTGTTGGCCTTGGGTTTATTTGACAAATATTTGCCCAGGGCCTTCTAGGCCCAGCCCCATGCCACCCGGGCCCTGGCATCTCTTTGAGGTTCTGCCAGTGTGCTCTTAGCTGAGACAGACAAAGGAGAAACACCTTTCTATGAGTTTTGCAAAGTTTACCTCCTTCAGGCCACAAATATTTGAGAGCACAGTACCTGCCAGGCAATAGTGCAAGGCTGCGGGCATAGAGACAGAACAAACCCCGTCCTCTTGGAATGGGCTCGAGCTGGGCCTTGGCCCCCATAGGGAGAGGGGACCACTCAGGTCCATACTTCCTTTGGACTTGAGGCTTTGGCCTTGGGAGGGGTGGAGGTGGGGTGGCAAGATGAAAAAGACATCCTGCCCCCATGCACTGTGGCAGAGCTTCTCAGTCTCAAGCACATCTTGGGAGCTTGTTAAAAGGGCTAATTTCTTGCTGTGGCTCAAGCCTGTAATCCTGATACTTTGGGAAACGAAGGCAGGCAAATTGCTTGAGCTCAGGGGTTCGAGACCAGCCTGGGCAACATGTTGAAGCCCTATTTCTACAAAAAATACAAAAATTAGTCGGGCATGATGGTGCACACCACACCTGTGGTCTCAGCTACTTGGGAGGCTGAGGTGGGAGGATTGAGCCTGGGAGGCAGAGGTTACAGTGAGCCTAGATCAAGTTACTGCACTCCAGCCTGTGTTACAAAGCGACAGAGTGAGATCCTGTCTCAAAAAGAAAAAAGTAGGGGCGCTGATTCCTGAGGCCCAGCTTAGACTCTGGGAATCTCTGAGAGCCCAGGAATTTGCATGTTTAACTCTTGGCAATTCTGATACATCCTGGGGCTGGAGAAGTGCTGCCGTGAGGGGTTGGCCAGGGTCCTCCCTGCTGCTTGTCACAGACACCACTGGGGGGAGAGGAAGCTGGGACACCCCAAGGCCCTTCTCTGGAGAGGAGCCTCATCTTCAAAAGGGCTCCGGTTGTTGCCTGATGTTCTGCGCGGAGCTGTACATCCACAGCCCGTGCCCTCCTTCCATACTCTGCTGGGTGCCTAGCTGTTTTTAATCTTGTCTGGGCAGAATCAGGGCCTAAATGCCACCCCACTTCAGGAAGCCCAGGGACAAGGCAGAGAGCCTTATAAAGTCTCATGCCGGCCAGGCGCAGTGGCTCAAGCCTGTAATCCCAGCACTTTGGGAGACCAAGGCAGGCGGATCACCTGAGGTCGGGAGTTCAATACCAGCCTGGTCAACATAGTGAAATTTCATCCCTACTAAAAATACAAAAATTTGGTGGGCGCCTGTAGTACCATCTACTGGGGAGGCTGAGGCAGGGAAATCACTTGAACCAGGGAAGTGGCGGTTGCAGTGAGCTGAGATGGTGCCACTACACTCCAGCCTGGGCAACAGGGCCAGACTCCATCTAAAAAAAAAAAAAGTCATATGCCAGTGGTCCAAGCCTCACTGACCCCTAGCCACCCCTCCCCTCAGAAAAATAAAGGCTTGCTGAGCACATTGGCTCACACCTGTAATCCCGGCACTTTGAGAGGCTAAGGTGGATGGATCACTTGAGTCCAGGAGTTCGAAACCAGCCTGGGCAACATGGCAAAACCTCATCTCTATTGAAAACACGAAAATTAGCCAGGTGTGGTGCTGCATGCCTGTGGTCCTAGCTACTCCGGAGGCTAAAGTGGGAGGATTGCTTGATTGGGGCTGGGAGATAGAGGTTGCAATGAGCTGAGATTGTGCCACTGCACTCCAGCCTGGGCAACAGAAAAAAAAAAAAAGGAAAGAAAGCAAAATAAAGACTTTGGGGCTGGCCAGACCAAACCACAGTCTTGGTCTTGCTAACTGCTTCCGCCTTCCTGCCCTGTGGAAGTAGAGGATGACTTGGGTGGGGTGCTGGACCTCTGCTTCACTGTTGCCCTCCCGCTGTACCTGTTTGGGGCTGAAGGGTGATGCCTGGGGGCAGGTGCCAGTGGACAGTCACTTCACTCCACTGACATCTGCTTCTGTCTTACTGTCCCTTTCTCTCGTTCTCAGGAGCCCTGGGACATCCCCATGCCAAGAGTTGGGAGCTAAGACAGAAAGCTGCTCAATTTCTTTCCCACTTGGCCTAGTTTTGTTTCAGCTGAGGGGAGAGACCCTTTCTCCAGGTACATTAATCCACTGAGATCTGGAGGGGACATTCTGATGGGAGTGGGATGGGCTCGAGCCCCCCATGTCCCAGCTTTGAAGCCCACCCGAGAATGACATGCTCAGGCACACATCTATAGGTGAAGCAGCAGCTGCCCAGAGTTGGCTTGGGGTGTCCCTAGGCAGCCAGGGAAGCAGGGAGACGCTAACCCACCAAGCTGTCCCCAGCCACCCAGCTGTCCCTGGTTTTGTAGGAGCAGCTGTCACCCAGCTTCCAAAAGGGATCAGGGGCAAGAGGAGACCCAGAAAGAGCTGAAGCTGCCCCAGGAAACAGGCCCATTCAGAAGGCATCGGAGGGGCCTTCTCTGCCCTGAACTGGTGGCCCCTTGGAGGGCTGGCTGCAGCCACAGGTGCCCCAGTACCCGGCCCTCCCCTCCTGCCTTCCCCCAGAGGCCATCACGCCTCCCCTTTCCGGGAAGGGCTGGGGATCCAACCGCGTCTCCCCACCCCACAGACCAGGGCGGCTCCTGTGGCCCAGATGTGCTGAGCCCGCAGGGAGGCCACCGCGCGGGAGGGGGCTGGGTGGTTTCCTTTGCCACCCCATCCCCTGCCGGCCCCAGCTCTTTCATGTCGCCGTCCTCCCCCACCCAGCCCGGAGCTGAGCAGCTGGGCCGCTCCTGCCCCCTCCCTCGGCCTTGCTCCCAGCTGTCTTTGGGGTGGGGCAGGGCAGCTGGGGAACAGCTGCAAGGCAGGAGACTGGGGGGTGTCGGGTGGCCCCTGCAACTGCCGGAAACAGTCTCCGGGCCAAGAAGGGGGTCCAAAGGGTGGGGGTGGGGAGGGCGAGGCCTGAGGGATGATCAACTTCACCACCTCTCCCAGTGCATCTGGCCATGGAGACTCTGGCTCAAAGCCCCCTCCCAGCTTCAAAGGGCACCCTGGGGTGGGAGGGGGGAGAGGAGGGTGGATGTCCTGACCCACTGAGTCAGCACCCCAGGGCCTCTCCAAGCTGAGACTCCACATTCTAACCTCACCTCGGGGTTCTTACAGGTCCTGCTCACACTCCCCACTAAAATCCTGTCATTGTCACCACAGCCTTCCTCAGACACCCTCATCTCCCATCCGAGGATCATAGAGAACCAATTCCACTACCCCACCTCTGCAGCCTGTAAATTCTGGGTGAGGAGGGCCTGGAGGGAGGATCAGAGGCTTGTCCTTCCCCAGCCTCCCACTCTGGCCTACTAAGAAATGGGAACTGGGCTGACCCTACGGAAGTGTGGGGGGTGAAGGGGCTGGAGCCGTGATCCCGGGGTATCCCCAGAGAGACATCACCACACTGCAGCCCCTCTTCTAAGGTGATCCCAGCATTTTAGAGGCTGAGGCAGGAAGATCCCTTGAGCTCAGTAGTTTGAGACCAGCCTGGGCAATATAGGGAGATCCTGTGTCTACAAAAAAAAATTAAAATATTAGGCTGGGCACAGTGGCTCATGCCTGTAATCCCAGCACTTTGGGAGGCCGGGGTGGGTGGATCACTTGAGGTCAGGAGTTCGAGACGAGCCTGGCCACATGGTGAAACCCCAACTCTACTAAAAATTAAAAAATTACCTGTGTGCAGTGGCGGGCGCCTGTAATCCCATCTACTAGGAAGCCTTAGGCAGGAGAATCGCTTGAACCCAGTAGGCAGAATTTGCAGTCAGCCGAGATCATGCCACTGCACTCCGGCCTGGGTGACAGAGTGATACTCCACATCAAAAGACAAAAAAAACTTTTAATTTCGCTTGACATGGTGGCATGTGCCTTTGGTCCCAGCTACTCAGGAGGATGAGGCAGGGGATGACTTGAGTGCTGGAGGATCCCTTGAGCCCAGGAGATCAAGGCTGCAGTGAGTTGTGATTGCACCACTGAACGCCAGCCTGGGTGACAGAGCGAGACCCTGTCTCAAGTAAAAACAAAATAAAATGCAGTAATAAAATAAAATGAAATATAAAGTAATAGTCTCCCTACATGTTTTTGGAAAATTCTTCCTTGGAGGAGCTTTAGAAACAGTGGTCTCCAGAACCCAGATTCTGGTACTGGTTCTAGAATCCTCTGAGTCCTGTTTCTTTGAGTTAAGAGGGCAAGGAATGAAATTGAGAGCACTCTTAGATTGCTTCTGTCCTATACTCTGTGCAGAAGTGCTGGAGCAGGGCCTGAGGTTCAGGCTTTTCCAGGGCTGAGATTCAGAATCTTCTTTGGAGGCTGGGAGGAATGGGAAATACTTCAGAGTATGGGGCAGAGGCTGCTAGGGTTGAGGAGCTAATGGTGAGACGGGATCCACTTGGACCGGGAAGGGCTGGCCCCAACACCATGAGCTTCTTCCTTCAGCTTCTGTCTTCTTTCCCAACACTCTCCCCTCCCACCTGAATCCAAAGTCTCTTCCCTTCCAGGGTAGCATGTGTTCCATCCCTGCTGGAATTCCTGCACAGCTCACAACCTCGGGATGTCACTGTCACAATGAAAGTTCTCAACATAACCAATAGAAAGCCAAGGGATAGAGCTCTGGTCTTTACATCTATTCTCTCTTTTTTTTTATTGAGACAGAGTCTCGCTCTGTCATCCAGCCTGGAGTGCAGTGGCCTGGGCTTAGCCAGAGCTCTGCACTAGGGGGGTCTTCAGATCTTTCCTTCATGAGGGACCAGTTTTCTTTCATTGTTCTGTGGTTAATGCCTCTCAA